TTCTCCCCGTCCATCGTCAGATTTCAGGAATTTCCCCTGGGAGTTGTTCAAGTATTAAGGCCAAAGCAAAAGGCCATTCACTCTTTCTTTCCTCTGCTACTTTCCTTGTCCTTCCACCACCTCATTTTCTGTCCGAAAACAACAAAGCTATCTCCAGAAGAAAAACCTGAATTCATCCCTTAACTCAATTTCTTCTAGATCGCACATAAAAGACGGCTGCCAAAGTGTGCACCTGAAGGCTGACTCTTTGACCCCCCCTGCTGATCATGATCTTTGACCCCACGCTGATCATGAGACCTTGTCGTCCTCCCATCCTCTCCCCGCTCTCCCCCAGGAGCCACAGGAAACGGGCTCTTGTGACCCAGTGGTCTGTGCAGCCATGGAGAGGCCCATTACTGCAGTCACATGGCAGGTTAGCACAGGGACTGATGCAACCATGTGAGCTCTATTTTCTAACAAGTTGCAGCTTCGCCTGAGGCCCGTGATAGTTTCACACAGGCCATAGAAAACGTCTGAAAATGCAAATCCAAGCAAACCCGAGATTGTTCCCTTTCCCTTTGTTTTATCTGCAAAGATGAAATGAATCAGCTTAAAGAAATGAACAGGTGATATGTATGTGGCTGGCAGGTGGAATATCCAGGTTGGTTGAAAAAGTTTGCTCATTATAAAACAAAAGAAGAAACTTTGAAATTAGACGTTTTGTGCTTTTTAGTTCTTATTGATCACCAGGATGTGAACCTGTCAAAGCTGTTACCTAAATCTTAAATGATAAAAAAAAAAGGTCTTTAAAACTTCTGATACACAGTCAAAGATCATGAATATGTGCTAAACACCCTTGCTTGTCAAAATCTCACATTTAAGCACATATATTTAAATTCTTTAAGGGGAAGAAATGTAAAGGTTATCAATTATATAAAAGTAATAAATGAGTTGATCGTCCCTTCAGTGCTGGGTGCTCTCTCATTACCAAAGGTTGAGTGAGTTAAGCTGAAGGAGTTTAACATCCACTGTCAGTTTTACCTCGCAGGGGCCAGTTTCAAGTTTGAAGTTCATGTTAAAAAAAGTAAATAATAAGTAAAATTGTTTTCACTGAACATCTACAATAATAAATTAAATAATAAATTAATAAAAAAAAGGGGGGGATATTTAAAATACATATCAACATATAAACTGATTTGAAATTAGAATATTTGTGTCTGAAAATCAGAGACACAAACTGCTTAATTTAGAGAATGATTAGGCCTGTTTTTAGGTGATGAACAAAAGACCTGCAGGCACACAAGGAGGAAGTGACAATATAATGAAAAACTAGATACACTATATTTATTGAAATGAACATCTTTACAGATGTTATAGACAAACTTTTTTTGTCTTAATGCAACGAAATTATAACGTGAGAAGAGATAACTTTTATTTTAGTGCTTAGCAACTTTATGATGCCCATTCTGAGACATGCAAATTCACAAGTAGGCCTAATTAAAAAAAGAGACCATACAGGCACCATTGAAAAGTTCTCCTCCTTCTTTATATTTTATTCGTTAAAATAAATAGATTTAAACATAGATAATGTTTAAAATACCGTTGCATGCATAGGAAGTGGCAGACATCTAGTTTAGATAATATTTTAAAGGCACGACGCTTTCCTTTCCTCTGTTTGTTCGATTATTACAGCTTTTAATAAAATTATAAGCTATATTGTAAATACATTAATAATATAGGCTATATGGGCTATACTCGTAGTATGGCCGTAATGAAAACCTTTTATATCCACAGTTTTGCCTTTCAGGGCATTGCGGTCCCTTTGAGGAAACAAAAGATTTTTAAAAATTCGTTTGATTTTGTTTTAGTTCCAAAGATTTGATCGTTTCGCTTTTTGAGCGCACATAACATACGAAATAAGAGAAATTGGCCTTTCATATTATCAGTCGAAAAGTAATCCAGATAACAACAAGATAATCCAGGACTTAACTTAAACTCTAAATTTATTTTTTAAATAATATTTCCTGCATCTCCAATGTCAGCAACAACACTAAATGAATATGAAACGGAACCACTAGGCTACAAGATTCATCGCGAAATACAGCATTGAAAGTTAGCAAAGTAGAAATTGTAATAACAATATTGTAACCACCACAGCAAAAAAATTGTCAAGTCCAATGCGGCATAAAATCATTTCAATAATGAGGCGAAATAATAATGTCACAGAACCGTTAAAGCCACTACATTGTAACATATTAGTTCATAGAAAATATAAAGAAACCGGTCACCTTATGCTGAAGTAGGCCTAATTAATAAGTTACACTTCAGTCGGAATATTCAGTAGCTTATATAATAATTTTGTAGTAAGCGTATTTTAACTCAGTAGGCTATATTCAATGCAAGATTTTGATTGATTAAGATATGGTGACATATTGTGGGGTAAATTAGAGTATCACATTTTGCGATGGATGTTTTTCCCTGTGGACATACTGACGCTATAAAAAAGCACCTTGCTCTGTCTCACAGACTCCCTGGAGGGGCCATGAACATCCACTAAGTAAACACTGTCCGTGAAACCAACTCCAAAACGAGGCCCACATTTGAAAACATTTTCCTGCCAAAATTAACAGCAGCAAACCCCTCATATGAACTATAGACAAAAAAACTCACTTCACAAGCCTCGCAGGCCTCATGCAGGATCGCAGTGTTGCTGGTTTGTCGGGTGCAGCATCTAGGTGTCCCCTCTGTACACACACACCCCCTCCCACAACCACCAACCCTTCATCCCCAAACACAACCCACCATCAGCACCTCCGGGGCCCAAATCCAGCTGTATTTACAGATAGGAAAGTGTCGGAGCGGGAGAAACAGAGAGATCCAAGTGTCCCGTCTGCTGCAGAGTATTTTCTATGTGTGCGCGACTGGTGTCTATGCTCGGACATAAGGGGAGAAAGACGCACACATCGCTCTCTGTTATCAATTTTTTCCATGTTTGCAGCACAAAACTGCTTTTTGTTCCCCATTTTTTCATTTACGAGGGTTAATGGATAGAGGCTTGGGCGTTTGATCACATGGCTACAATTCACCTGAGATGGAGACAAAGAGAGCAAAGAGAGAGGAGAGAGAGAGAGAGGGTGAAAACCGAGAGCCAGGCTCGTCATGAGAGGCAATGGACACACAGGGGTTATTGTTGCATTCATTTAATGTGTGTGTGTGTGTGTGTGTGTGTGTGTGTGTGTGTGTGTGTGTGTGTCCGTCCGGACGCATCAGACGCAGCTGAAGTCGATTCTCTTCCTTCCCATCAGGCCGTGCTTCAGCGGCACAAATCATGGCCCACAAGCATGTTATAGAAAAAAGGACCATTTTCACTGCCACCGTCTTTCTTTAGGAAAACACACACAAAAAAACATGAAAGTCTTAGATTTATTTAATTCATTTAAGAAAAGATTTAAAGGGATGTTTTTCAAGGATGAGTCAGTCTAAACGAGCCTCTTTACTGTTCACATATATTTCATCCTCCAGCCTGTTTCCATGCTTCCTGTCTTCTGTTATTTCAGAGGTTTTTATTCAGAAATCAGCTTTATTATGCGAATAAATCTAATTAGTGATACATTAGTTCTCGTGTTATTTGCATAGAATGATTCCACATCAATCTGCATTTCAGATATGATGTAATAACAACCTTAAAGTCAAACTGGTGATGTCTAAACCGTTGACTAATAACAAGGGGGCATTTAGGCATCGCATTGTTTTGCCATTGGACTTAATGGAACCAATGAATTTGTTTTTATCCTAAAATCTTGCCACAATAGCCTACCACTGATCACTCAGCAGCCATTTGTGTCTGTGTGACATCATCATTGTGGGCGTGGCTGGAAGTCAAAGAGTCGCATGTGTTCAAGGTAACTGGAAAATTAATTGGACCCTAAAATATATGCAGTAAATATAAAATATGGTGTTTTAAATTGCCAAGCACATTTCAAAATTAAAAGTGCACAATGTCATCTTCAGTTGTCTTGGAACTCATATTTTGACCACTGTCTTTAGCAGAACTGGGAGACTTTTGTAAACATGTTTAACGTATTTCTGCAATATCATGCATTTCAATATTTACATGTTGGATGAGGTGGCTGAAGATGTGTAGGCCTATATCAGATGGGCCATGTGCATGTATTACTCTTCAAAACGTTATGCAAGCCTGTAAGAAGCGTTGTATCACTTCACAAAAACCTAATCTGAGTAGCGATCCAGCACATTTGCCATAATGGCCCACTTCCTCTGTTTAATTCTCATTAAAACTTTTTTGTTTTAATGTTGCCTTAATTGGTGTAATCCATCATACCTGCAGGCCAGAGTTAATTTTATTTTTAAAATATTATAATGCTATTAAAGATTATTATGTGTTCAGATAGAGAAATTAATGCTGGATTAATTATCATTGATTCGACGATTATTGATCACTAACCCAATATATCCTTTTCCCACATAGGCCTACTTGATTATCATTTTTTTTAATGGATTTTCTGTAGGCTACAATAAGATCCAGCTTTTACTCACATAACTTTTATCTCTGATAAGTTTTGCAAGTCTCTAAATCAATATTGCATCCTTTCTTTCCCGCGTTACACTGAATCCTGTCAAATCAGAGCTGAACTTTACAATTCAGGGGTGATTTTTTTTGTTTGTTTGTTTTTTTTTTACATATAAGGAACGTGACCACACCAGGCAATAACTCTCCTCTTGGCTGTTTATTTGTTTGATACAACATGTCAACACTTCCAACAAAGCCTGCCTTCTCCTGCCTCTAAATGGGCTCACTGTAGAGTCATTTAAGCCACTCCGAATGTAAAATCTCACCTCTTCTCTGTTGGAAATGTTGCACTGATGGACAGACCGGCCTTAACAGTGCATTGCTCCCGTCCAATCCGAGAGCAGCGGGATAATTAGAGGGCCAATCGGAGCGCGACATGGTGCCGAGTGGGCGGGGCTCACTGTGTGCTGGAATGCTGCCTCTCTGGGAATGTTTTCCACTTTCAATCACTTTTTTTTTCTTCCAGTCCGTCTCACAAGGCGCTCTTTAAGCTCCGGTGTTGCCACACAGAGCAGCCATTCATCGGCTCTACAGTCAGCCACACACACTCCCATGTTGAACCACTGGACACCTAAACTGGTAAGTTATGTAATTTAAAAAAAAACTACATTTATAAGATAAAAAGGAATATTTCATATCAGTATTTATGTGCCAGTTGTATTCTCATAAATTTTGTTACTGAAAGATTGAATGCAGAATATTTTTTTATATTAGTTTCTTTCCACCAAAAGTAGGCCTATTATTATAATTATATATTATTATTATTATTATTATTATCATTATTGACTAGAGATGTAGTTTTGTCGGCTAACTACATCTACATCTACATCTCTGTTTGGTCACATTTAGCTAAATCTATTAACCTGCTTGAATTAAACCTGGCCACAACTAAAATTATAATTTTACCCATTTGTGGACTTGATTCGTACTGAATCGTTTCTATTGTACTTGATACGATTTTAGGTGTAACTGCTTTTGCTGAATTCCAGCCAGCGGTGGAAAGGATTTGGACACTTTTACGCAGCAGTATGGCTTTGCCTGAGAAGAGTCACCAGTAACCGGGATCGTCGTAGACTCCAGACGTCTTATTCAATTAAAACAATTTAATTACTCTGAACAGTTTGGACTCTCTCTAAAAACAAATTTTGCATTCGAGGGTTGTCTTGCCATTAGTTGAAAGTTAAACAAAATGTCCGGCGAGGACCACAGCCTGTCCGAGGCGGAACTGAGTCCCGGAGGGTCAGACGACGGTCACTCACTGTCACCGACTCAACCCGGGGCGCCACCCGGCCAGGGCTCACCTCTGACCGGGCCGTCGCAGCAGGTGTCCGCGCTCTGTGTCGGGGATGGAAGCGCGGAGGATGGAGGCATGTCCGGAGCCAAATCAGAGGAAGAGGAAGATCGCTTCCCGATCGGCATCAGGGAGGCGGTCAGCCAGGTGCTGGACGGATATGACTGGACACTTGTGCCGATGCCGGTGCGCGTAAACAACGGGAACAAAGCTAAGCCCCACGTAAAGAGGCCCATGAACGCCTTCATGGTGTGGGCACAAGCGGCGAGGAGGAAACTGGCCGACCAGTACCCCCACCTGCACAACGCGGAGCTCAGCAAGACCTTGGGCAAACTGTGGAGGTTTGTATGGGGTCCCAGAAAAGAACAGTGTGGCCATACAGTGGCACATTTCCTGTCTGTGCGTGAAGTGGGGGTGTAGCCTAGATGCTGAACTCAAATGTAAAAGTGGGCAAATTAGGCTATAAGTTCAAAATGGTGATTTAAAACAAGGGAAACACCTAGAAATAGAAAGCAACTTGGTGTTTTTGTTGTGTTCATTTAATATAGTGTATAGCCTATTATATAATGTGTACTAAAACTAGATTTATACCAGCCTAAATTGCGAGTTTTGCCCAAGTCTTTTCCTGTATTTGTCCGTTACGCGCGAGACTGAATGCGACAAAAAATGCGACAAAAAATACTTTCACATTAACTCAGACGCCTCATAAGACTAAAACTGCTCCTTGTTTTTATGTACCCAGGTTGCTGAACGAGAACGACAAGAGGCCATTCATCGAGGAGGCGGAGAGGCTGAGGAAACAGCACAAGAAGGACTATCCGGAGTACAAGTACCAGCCCCGGAGACGCAAAAACGGCAAACTAGCGCCTGCCAGCGAGTCAGATAGCCAGGGGGAAGGGGAGGCCAGCCACTCCCAGTCACACTACAAGACCCTGCACCTGGAGCACAATGGTGGGGCTGGGTCCCCCCTGGGTGACCTGCACCACCACCACCATCACCACCACCATCCTGCTGGTAGGTGGTTCACAGGTGCTGAGTCTGGACACATTTTAATTTTGCAGTTTCAAGAGATATTTAGACCTCTATGAAAGAAGGGAATATAAAAACAACCCACAACTCCTCAATCAAAATAAAACTAAAAGGTGTCAAAACCTGAAGTCAATGTTCACCTGCATGTTGTCCCTTCTCTTCTCTCCTCCAGGTCAGGGTCACAGCCCACCCACACCCCCCACCACCCCAAAGACAGAACTCCAGTCTGGAAAACTGTCAGATGCCAAGAGGGAGTCAGCAGCAGGAGCGGCCGGAGGATCAGGGGGGTCCAGGGGAGCCCTTGGGGTGGGAGCTGAAGGGGCGTCTGGTGGTTCATCATCAAGCGCTAAACCCCACATCGACTTTGGCACCATGGACATCGGCGAGATTAGTAACGACGTGATGTCCAACATCGAGCCGTTTGACGTAAACGAGTTTGACCAGTACCTTCCTCCAAACGGCCACCCGCAGAGTGCACCTGGGGCCACGGCAGCCGGATCTTCGGCCTCGTCTTACGCCTACGCCCTGGCTGCTGCAAGCGGGCACTCCGCCTGGCTCTCCAAACAGCAGCAGCAGCCTCAGGTCTCTCCATCTTCCTCCGACCCCTCCAAGGCCCAGATCAAGAGCGAGTCTGCGTCCGGGAGCCACTACGCCGAGGCCTCGTCCTCTCCCTCCTCAGGCTCCCACGTCACCTACACCCCTCTCAGCCTCCCTCATTATGGCTCTGCTTTCCCCTCGCTGGCCTCCAGGGCTCAATTTGAGTACGGAGAGCACCAGGCCCCCGGGGCTTACTATGCCCACTCCAGCCAGGCCCCGGGGCTGTACTCAGCCTTCTCCTACATGGGTCCTACACAGAGGCCTCTTTACACTACCATAGGAGACCCCTCCAGCGTGGCCCCCTCTCACAGCCCCACACATTGGGAGCAGCCTGTTTACACCACACTCACAAGACCTTGAGGGAGACCAGCTGAGCAGAGGGAAATATGGGAAGCGTGTGAGTGGATCTGTGTGAGCGTGTGATTCTGTATACGTGTGTGTGTGCGTGTGCCCGTGCCATATTGATGTTATATTAGAGGTTTTTACTTTTTTAGCCAATATAATGCAAGACGCATCCACGGGGCCTTACACAGTTAAAAAAAAAAAGACAGCCACAAACTCACACAATATAAAGTGTGAATCATGGGTCAACCGCCAATCAAGAATTAAATAAACTTTAACAAACGTGTGCCAACATACATTTATAACTTGGGATGGAACAGAAAGTGTGAAAACTTGAGTGTGAACAGACGCTGCGCTGATGTATGACTTTGATTTGACCCAGAAAACGATGGGTTTAGACAGACATAATCAGATTTTATTAACCAAACTAAAGCAGATGTTTTTGATGTTATTGTGTTATTTTATATGAGTAGTAAGTTTATTGTCGTTGTTGATATCCTAGTTTGTAACTTTATTGTGACTGATTTGATATTACACTAATACATCTGCACCACTGCTTTGGGAAAAGCATGTTTTTGTTTCAGTAAGATGTTCCCTGGGGTTGTTTCTTCATGGCCAGAAATGGATAGCTGCAACTTTGTTTTTTTCTGTGTACATAGAACACTCCGTGTTTCTGTCCTGAACTGAAGAATTAAGCATTTAAGGGGAAAAATGGGAAAAAGAGAGGGAAAAGAGAGCTCTGAAAGATGTATTTCAGCTTACCGCTCAGTCGTGGACACTTACCTCAACTCTAATCATTTTTGTGCCAATAGCAAAGGAGAAATACGACTCTGGATACCTGATAAAATAATGCTGAAGGTATTCAAAACATTTAGAGCAGTAAGCATCCGCTTCAGTCTTCTTTCTTGCTTTTTAAGTGCCTAACATTTGGCTGATTCACTTTTGATTTATCAAAAAACTGACTTAAAATGTATAAGTACAAAGTCTCAACCAAATCTCTTCAGATAATTGGCCAGCTTTGGGTCCTACTTAAGGATTAGAATCACATGTACGACTGTTCTGCACTGCATGTGGGCCACAAGCATGTTTTTGTCTTTACAGTTTTTTCCCCTATATTGTGCCCAAATAGCCCTCTTCCTCTTCAGCAATGTGAATAATGGTCATTACCACAGGCTTCACTTTTATCACGTGATGCATACTTTACCATTTTATACTGACCCTCTTACCATGTAGTTATTATTTTTATGTAAGTAATAATGCAATGTGTGTCACACCTTTGCTTCTTCCATTTTGTATAATTCTGGATAGTTTTGTAAAGTGTTTGCTATACATTCACTTGAGTATTTTGCTTCCATACATGAAAAGCAATGTTGAAATATTATTGTCATCATCTATTAAATCAATTTATTTATAAAAAATAAAAAAAAATCCTGTGTAAGAGCGCTATTTTATGCAGCAGCGATGGTTCAGTGATAACACATGGAGCAGTTAGTAAATTAAGGGTGAAGAGAAATAAATTAAAAACACGCTGCTGACGTGTGAACTGTAATAACAACACAATCAGTGCCCCACCAACCTAAGCTGTTTAGTGTGTTTGTATGTGTGGCAGGCTAAAATTGACTACTAATTCCCCACATTTAATCGGCTGGGGACTGCGTGTTACTGAGAAAGACAAAGAAAGCCATTCAGCGAGGGAGAGGGACAGAAAGAGAGAGAAGGGGTGGGTGTAAAGAGCCAGAGGCAAGGCCAATTTCAGCTCAGTAACTGGCATACACTTGGACTTTTGTACATGGCTTTCCTTTCACGCTGCCCTCTCCTCTCCACCTGAGGCTCCCTCCCTGCCTCCACATTCAGCTGCTGTTCAAACCCAGAATCAAAATGTCAAGTTCATTGTTCTGCCATGGTGGTTGTTGGAGTTGAAAAACAAAGATGATGATAGACGTGGGGATCTTACACAAAAAGAAAAACAGGTGACAATATTCAAAATTTAACGGGGAAATGGAAGGTAGGCTATTAACAGAGCAGTCTAAACCTGGGGGAAGCTTTTCACCATAAATTACACAAACAAAATAATGATATTAATAACTAATTAATTCAACCAATCAGGTGATAAACAAATACTAAAAGAGATAATGGGGTAGGAAAAAAAAACACTAGTTAAATATGAAAATATCAAACAGGACAACCCTTCAACTGCTGTGGTTCCAGCTTTAGGCCGAAATCAACCAGGAAATCTGGGGATATTGAATCAGGGGAAACAGTAGAAGTCAATAAGGATGCAAAAAAGCATTAAAATACACCACAGCATTGTACTATTTGTTGCAAGAGAGTACATTTCTGTTCTTATCTATTTTCAGTGCCACCTTACTGACTGTGCAAAGCATCAAATGTGTCCAGTTTTAGCCAACACGGCACGCTTTTCATCTCTGCAGGTACAGGACCATTTAACCTATATGGAAGTGGATTAATATGATCTGTCCCATAGATAAATACAATATAAAATAAGTACATTTACTCAATCGATGTACTTAGGTAAACATTTTATTATATATATGAGTATTAGTTACATTTTGCTGAACTTTTACTACTCTACATTTTACTATTTCTATTTGACAGCTGTAGTTGTGAGATACTTTGTAGATTAAGATTTACACACAAAACATAAGAGCATCTTAAAAAATGTGATGTTGTAGATTTATCTAATCACCAAAAATTAGAAATAGCTCCCTTTCGACCAGATGCAATTTTAACGTTGTGGTTACACCTCAATGCATCACTAACAGCAATGCAATAATATCATGTATAGAATAACACCCCTGAAAGGGGCAAATTTGTATAATCAGTACTTTTGATACTTTAAGAATATTTTGCTGTGAACACTTATGTACTTTTACTGCTATTTTGTGTAGTATTGTGGGATTACTATTTTTACTCATCCTTACTAACAGGATGCAGTTGAGATGTAAATTTCCTGGTTAGACTGCAGACCTGGTGATTATGCACCTAAACGTTACTCATACAAGGAGCTGTAGAAGAAGAAGAAGAAGGAGGATATGAAGGAGATGAAGACTGGAGTTTATGCTGGCACACTGGGGCAATCTTCAGGGGCAATATGACACTCATCCTGGCAATAGTTTTTTAACAGACTGCTGGGAACATGATGAGACAAATTTTGTGTGGATTGGTGGTGCAAAGGCAAAAAAAGGTATCAGACCATTTGTCAGTATATACAGTAGCTGGCAATATTATTGACCCTGCAGTGGATAGAGGAGGAGGAAATAAGCATTGCACCTGACAGCTTTTCAGCCCTAAGGAGCATAAGATCTGGCAGATCATCATTTAGAACAGATTTCATCAAAGAAACAGTCCTTATAATGAACACTTAAGTATGTAGACCTACAAACTTGAATTGAGCAAAGCTGAAGCTAAGACATGCATTAGGACATTTGCACAATCACTGACAGGAGCACTGGAATGATAATGAAACTGGAAGACATCTCTAGGCTTTACAAAAACAGGTTGGTGTTCAGAGGGCTGGAAACAAAGGGAAGAGAATAGGTCATACAGGTCTCAATCATACATTCACTAGACTAAAAAATGCACACTGTAGCCAATCAACAGTCGAACAAGTTCTAGTAGAATTTTTTTTGTTTGTTTGTTGTTTGTTTTTTCCCCACATCCTCTCTTGTCTGATACTGCAGTCCAGTTGGTGGCGGTAATGCACCCCTGACCTGGTTTATCAACGCCAATAAACACTAAAGAAGAAGCGGAAGCGGCAAAGGAGAAAGAAGCAGAACAAGAAGAACCCGTGACGTCTTTCTAGGGGCGCCAAATCCGGAGCGGACAGAAACACAACACGAAAGTTTTTAAGAGTCCCTTCGCCGTCTAAACAGGTAACAGTTAGATTCATTATGATATATGATACTAGAATGTGTTCTCGCTGCAGCCTGAATTACGTGTAGCGTTCAGCTAAAGTTTGAGTTATGTCATGAGCTAATTAATGTTAGCTAACATCTCTGTGTGCCTGTCATGTCATGGCAGGTTGTCAGGATTTATAACTTGGTGAGCCTCGAAACGCCTCATTTCGGGGCCAAAGATAGAACTGCACATTGAGTAAGACTTGAACGTGATACGATACATGTTTAATTTGTCCTCTCAGCCGGCTGTCATGGACCTGAGCTCCTTTGAAATAGACAACTCGGTCAGCTGCCGACTGGCTTCTCAGATCCCTGATGTCTGCAGGACTGAGGACTGCTGTTTGGGCATTGACGAGGCAGGAAGGGGGCCTGTGCTGGGTATGCTGTTAGTTCATTATGGAAAAAATACATCTACTGTTGCAGTCATGCATAAGTCATGGTGGAGATGAATGAGCAGTGCCCTTTGTTTTAGGGCTCACATACTTACAGTGTTCGTGTTTTGTGATCCAGGGCCCATGGTGTATGGAATATGTTTTTGTCCAGTTTCCAAAAAGCAGGAGCTGAAGGACTCAAAAGTGGCAGGTAATGCTTTTTGTCTACATCTCTGCAGATGGCAGGTCAGAAGGATGTTGCACGGTCTCTCTCAGTGTGATGCTTTGAACTCATCCTCACTGCTGTCTTAGTGAAGAACCTAAAAAATGTGAATTATTTTATCTTTTCCTTTGTTCAAGTGGTTGTACTTCAATCTGCAAATTGAATAATAATAAACCCTTTATACTCAGTCTTCTTACATTAGAAAACAAATTAATGTATTTTGTCTCTCCCTTATCAGATTCAAAGACTCTAACGGAAGCAGAAAGAGAGAATCTTTTCCAAAAACTGGATGAAGCCAGAAGTTATGTAGGCTGGGCTCTACAGATTCTCTCACCAAACACAATCTCTACAAGCATGTTGCAGAGGTATCTGGCACATATGGCATCATGCAGACAGAGACTTGTTCTCTTTTTTTCCACATAAACTGTCTTTTACATTCACAAACTAATAAAATGTCTGCTTTTGTTAGGACAAAATACAACCTGAATGCCCTCTCGCACGATACAGCAATTGGTCTAGTACAGTTTGCCTTGGACAGTGGAGTACAACTCAGAGAGGTATGTAAGCAAATGATTCATTTAAATATGAAGGTGCACACCTAATGCTTCTGTTATTATCAGTGTCATATTTTCTGTTGTACCTACAGTATACACAATCTATGCCTTTTTATATAGCTATTTCTATCCATACAGAGTGCCTTTCAGTGGAAGATGGATACTCTTTATATTCAGTCAGAACAGGGTCTTTAGGCAGACCCACACAAACCGGGTTTTAGGTTGGGACTTGGTGTTTCTGTGTGAATTCTGGGTCAGGTCCGGCCGATAACTTAGTAACACATGCAACATGTTAAGCATTAGAGAGTCAAAATGAAACTACAAGTGTGCAGATCTCCACCGTGCCTGGTATCACCAAATGTTGTATGAATAACATGCCAATGTGTCAAGTAGTTTGCTTTTTCCGTGTCATTTCACACCATTTAATCTCTACGGATTTATAGGTGCATCTCAAAAATTAGAATATTGTGAAAAAGTGAAACTTCCATGTATTCTAGATTCACTGCACATAAAGTAAAATATCAGCTAAGATAACAAATCAGCTATTTGAAAGCAGCTTTATTGTATTTGAGACTTACTTTAAGAGCGTTGCATTTTGATCAGGATGTAGCCATACTGGTTATTAAACAGTTTATTTTTTTGTTATAGTTTTACAGGCCCTGTGGATTGTGTGCTCTTCATGTGTTGTACAGTGTTGTGATTTAATACATGCAACTGATTTAAGACAGAAACATTCAACCTTATACAGCATATTCTCATTTTCACTCATTCGTCTTTCTCTTTCCTGTCGTACTTGGCCTGCCCTGCACCACCTCCCTGGTTTTCTGCAGGTATTTGTTGACACAGTCGGCCCAGCAGAGAAGTATGAGGAGAAACTCTCGAAGCGCTTCCCTGGTATTGAGGTGACTGTGAGGCCAAAGGCTGACTCCCTCTTCCCCATCGTCAGTGCAGCCAGTATCTGTGCAAAGGTTAGTAACCACTGGCCAACTGAAACTCTTTCTTTTGCCGTTCTTGCTCGTCTTTGCCTTTAGGTAAAGAAAAGCAGGGTGGCTGTGGGTCCCTTTTATTTAAAAAAAAAAAAAAAAAAAAAAGTGTTAAATTCATATTTACAAATAAAATGCCTTAAAGTATTAAATAGCTTTCAGGTCTATTTGGGAAGGTCTTAAATATTTATTTATTGAGTGTTGTAAGCATGGTCTAAAATTCACTCCAAGTGCAAAATGCCTGGCGAAATCATCAAGAGTTGAATTTGAATGGCTCTGTTATCCTTAGGGATGGGTAAGTCTTACTGATACTGCTTATTGATCTGGTACTTTAACAGTATTCTTATGGGTTCTTTATGTCATTTTTTTTTTTTTTTTTTTTTTTTTTTTTAAAAGAACAAAAAAAATAAAGAACAGAATTAACATGGCTTTATTTTCTGAAAAGTAAAACAAGCGAAATAAACAGTTATTTACTGCAAAAGAAAATGCAGTTGTATAGAGCAACATTTTAAATGGGTGATTGAATTTATAAACTAACCATAGATAAACAGTCAGCTGGCTAATAGTTCATTTTTATCATGAACCCCTGTTTGCATAATTTCATTAACTCTGTGCGTGGATTATTCTGTTCTGCTAGCATACATACCTGATGAAGACGGGGCAACAAGAGATGAACCACCAGCTAGGCAGTCGAAAACACCGCATTTGTCTGCCTGTGTATGGCTTTTTGATAAATGTCTGGACAGATTGCTCATGTTTCCACAAGCAGGGTCTCGAGTTTCTGTGCGTGCATATGCGTGCAGTAGCTTGTGAGAGAGAGAACATGGGTGGGTTTGTCACACTATGATTAAACTTAGCAATGAATCCGCGGATCATGGATCAACTATGATCCGTTACACCACTATTAGCAATTAATGAGCTGATATGTCAGAATCATTTCTTTTGCATCTGAACAGGTCATCTTCAGAACAAAAGGGGAGTTGATTGTGAGTTTCTTTAGTCTGCTGAGTACAGGCTGCCGGTCTCTAAGGCAGTGGGGAATGTGTGGATATGTGCGCTTGTCTTCCTTTTTTCCCCTTGAAACTTCCAAACCCTACCAGTGTTGTTTTTTTGTTTTTGTTTTTTCTGAAGCTATTTGCTGATTTTTAGGTGGCCAGGGATCGTGTTGTAAAGGGCTGGAACTTTGCTGAGGACCTGGGAGAGGTGGATACAGACTACGGCTCAGGATACCCCAACGGTAACAGAAACAATCAACAGCAATTATAATCCAACCATAATGACATCTATGTTTGTGAAATACTTTTACATATTTTGAATAATATCAACATCTGAGTGCACTGGTAACATGACCTAATCAAGCCCAGGTGGATATCGGTGCATGTAGATAATGATACTGAGACAGATATTTTTCCCCTTGTGTTTTCAGACCCCAAAACTAAAGCGTGGCTGCTGAAGTACCTGGACCCAGTGTTCGGTTACCCTCAGTTTGTTCGATTTAGCTGGAGCACTGCCCAAACCCTGATGGACAGCAAGGGTGTGATTGTCCACTGGTAAAGAACCTTCAAACTTGATTGTGAAGCACTTTGAACTTGAATGTCGAGTTAAAGAAGAATACCATTGAAACATGATTTACAGTATCTGTTTTTCTGCTCTGAGAGAAGGACTGTCAGCCATTTGTCACCAAGAGTTAGGCAAAGTCTTTTCTAAAAGCAGTAACATAGTTTCCAGTTTATTTCCAAAGAAGCCAAAAAACACAAGAAAACCCCTTTTGATTTACATTTCAAGCTTAATGTTTGCATAAATCACTTGACTTTAAGAGACGAGCGCTAACCACAGTGTAAAAATCAGACTTGTTTTATTAAATCTGTCCTCAGGGATGATGACGAGGAGGACGGGGAGAAAGCGGCGCAGCGGCAGAACAACAAGTCCATGTTGTCATTCTTCAGTGCATCAGCTGGAGGTAACGACCAAAACCCGACCCACCAAACACACCGCTTCTTCTCTGAGCGGAGGCTGAAGAGCCTCGACACACTGTGAAGTGTAGAGGACATGCACGCACATACAGGGAACTATAAGCTCTTTGTGAGATTTTCATATACGGCCCAAAAAGATCAGTCTTCGGCAGAGATGTGATGTGCCGATATGTGATGTTTTTATCACCGCTGCAGACTTAAAAGAACCTCTATCTGTATTTGTTCTGTTTGTATCTGTTTTTAATACATAAAAGTAATGTTTAAAACTTTCGTTTTACTTTTCTTTTGTAATTCTACACCATACACGTGAAAGAAGCAAACAGGCTTTGTTGAGAAATGTCTTTAATGCCAATACAGCCCTCTGGTGGCAATATGATAAAACACACCAGAGGTTGGAAAAGCGTTGGCGGTGTTCCACATGAACGTTTAAGGGTCCCAATACAAACATAATCTGATGACTGACATGGACAAATGCTAAATAACCACCATAATATGACAACTGCAGAATGAAAACAACTCAGCATGTTCCACGTACCCTGAAATCATAGTCTCTTGTCCTGTATCTCATATTTTTTAGGTTACAGTAGTAAGACTATGGCTTATAATTTATCTGTTATGTATAGAATGAAACCTGATAGTAGGGCTGAACAATTAATTAAAAACACAGTATGGCCTGCTGCAAGTTTCAAATTGCAGAAGGCGCAATATTTTTAGTGATTTGTGTGTCAGAATACTGTTTTAAATTAAATATTGTCACACTACAGAGACGTCCTGGCCTACACATCATATTCTACTGACCTTAAATATCTTTGTTTTGGGACAGATCCCTGTAAAAATTACGCCATAATTAATTTTAATGTGTTTCAGTGAAAATGAGAATAATGATCATTCCCCCTAGTAATATAAATCATATTGCAATTGCAATATCAGTCAAAATGATCGCAATTAGATAATTTTTTCAAAATTGTTCAGCCCTACCTGATACCAAAACGAGGAATATGTGTTACTACAAAACCTTTTTTTTTTTTTCATTTAACAAAAGAAAACAAAGTTGTCAGATTGTTGACTAAATAAAATACAGTCTTAAATTTTGATTCAAATCAGAAACTGTCTAATCAATGGATAATTTAAGAAGACTAATAGTCTGAGTAAGCTTTCAATGCCAGCTTTCAGTACTTGACAGATTTCTCTTGCTTTTCTTTTAAATAAAGGTTTGTTTATTCTACTTTTTAGCTTTCATTATGTTCTTATATAAATAAATAAACTGACTAAAGATTTACATTTGATTAACCATAACTGTCCCTGTACCAGCACTTTAAACTAAAACTCTTCAGGATTTCTTTATTTTCTATTATCTTCAGTTTTACATTTCACACGCTGAGACTACTCGCTAAGTATGAGGTAAAAAGGAGGATGAGGTTTGATGGTACTACTACATACTGTTCCCCTCTTTAAAACACCACAGTGTAATCTATATGAACCCAACATCACATAGATTAATCTTGAGAGGGTTGCTCAACACTTGTCTTCTCAGAAATGTCACCAGTGTTCTCCTGTTGTTGTTCTGTGTTGCTTCATCCTCATCTGACTCTCCAGGCTAACCCTTGAACACACAGGAACCGTCACACATGACATTCTGCCAGGGGAACACAAAAGGCAGCTGGCTAGGAAGGGATGTCCGTCGTTTCATTAGAAAAATAAATACTGCATTGGCTTAACAAAGGTTAACTAAAAAAAAATAAAGGCATATCCATCTGTCCACCGTTGCTAGTTCTCGTTGGGTTTGTGTCTAGACTCTTGGATTCTCTTTCCGCAGTTCATAGCTAAAGTGGAGACTGCAAACGAGGACAGGATCATAATCGAGCTCCCCACAAAATGAGACGACGCTCCTCTGGGGGTTAATCTCGGGGCTCTCCTGGGGAAAGCTTCTCTGTTGAAGGCTGCAGTGGCGATCACTGTCTGGGCCATGGGCTCCATCGGTGTGGATGTTGCTTGGACGTAAGGAAGTCCACAAGCTGGTCTCTGGGAGGTTAATCGTTGGGTCTGCTGGAGCTTCAGCAGGAAGTGTCTGACCAATACGTCTTAGAGCTTCTGTCTGAGTCCAACCCGATACCTTCCTTTTATAACCTTCCCGGGCTCCTCATCTAATTCCTCCAAATAGCCTGGTCTCCTACTGCGTCAATGGGATTAAAATTATAGTTAAGCCATGACTGCAGTGGACTACGTGGTGATCTATTTCAGCTAAGACTTCTCTACTGTAATACTATTAGATCACCCTGCCGTTCTCCCACATTGAATGAATGTTGTTTATGAGACAGAAGCTTGCAAACATAGACGACTCTAATTAAACTCCTTTAAAATTAGGAAAGGGCATAAACGGTGATCACACAGAGAGGTACGCAGTCAGCAATGAGGGTCGTTTCCTCACGCCTTAGCTTGAATCCCCTTTCACTTCATATTCATCACATCCAAAATGAAAGCTCTTTACTCCTCTAATATGCTCTCTAAACATTCTGCACTTTAGTCAGTATCCCAAAAAAGATGAAATATTGCACAAAGCAAGGCAAATGTTTACAAAAGTGGTTTTGTTAACCAAAAGAAATATCACAGTCTTAGCAGACAGAAAGGATCAAGGTGCACATGAGGTGAAGCAGACTAGTGTTTGGCAGCTAGTTGTTTTTTTTCCCCCCCATTGATTATGGTCTGTAATTGATACTGGTCGAGCTACGAGAATGAGTCAGTGTTGACTTTATTATTATCCAGGACTTACTGTATTTTTATGAACATTTACTGTTTGTTCCCTTAGATGAGATAAGAGTAGAGCTGTAGAGAGACTGAGAGGATCAATCAAAGATCCAGGCTGAGAACAGCTGATTAAAAAACAGTACGGGACAATTATACAATCAAACCTAACCTAAAAGTTCAAGTTAACATTCTGTGACTTCACTAAAAAGGTTTCCTATTAAAGGTCTCAGCCAAGTTTGTCATTAAAGACTTTAATTCTTATTTAATTTTAGATGATGCACCTACATTATAGTGACGTAGTTGTTAATATATGCTATATTGAAATTATAAGTTGTCTGTCCTCATTTAGTCAACAGCATTAGACATTTCTATCAAAAATGTTTATATCAATGTTAAACCCCACGTCTTTATTCTCGCAGGTGTTTCTGTTGTGTGTGTGTGTTTATATATTGTAAATACTGTAGTATGTCCTACTACATATAGGGAGGTAAACGGGAAGAAAACATTGGATGATATTCCCCATATTAACACAGAATAGACAGACATAGACAACCATTTTGATAAGAGATAAATCATTTTAGCTGTTTAATATGCAAAAATTTGCTAAACATCCTCTGGTTCAAGCTTCTCAAATCTCACAATTTGCTCCTTATCTCCATTTTAAACATGGACTGTATTTTATATCAATTTATATGGAATATTCTTGGGTTTTTGGGCAAAAAAAAAAGAAGAAATTTGAAGATCACCTTAGATCATGTCAGAATTAGGTTCATTGCCAAGTAGGTTTTCACATATAAAGAATTTGTATTTGGTGCATGACAGAAAAAAATAAAATTGTACTTGTAGCTGTGACACAGTTTTCAGCACCTACGACAGCTCCTTCTCACCATGACCCAGGTCACATGGGTTTGGCTGGTCTCTAATCCCTGAGGTTGTTACATGTAGTCCTAGTTTCTTTTCATTGCGTCTCTTTAATTGTGCTAATTGGATTGCTCCGGTGCTTTTCCACTACTGACACAGAAAGCTTTCATGAATGAATGTGCTGCGGAAACAGGCCATGGTTATTAGGCGCAGACAGGGTGTTTGTGATAGGGGTGCATAATGTATCCATCTATATATTAGTTCAAGCAATTTGTATTGAGATCCGTACTGACACTCAGGTTTTGTAAATGTATTGCAGGGGCATGAAAATTAAAAAATGTGTTTATATGCTGCTAAGAGCAACAACAGATAATTGCTATTCAAAATGAATTCTTGTTTTTACATGCAATTGCTACTGTCCAAAAAACCCTATAAAATAATAAACAAATACATTTGTGAAATATACTGTTTATTGTGCAGTATAAAATATTGTATTAGTTAATGATCTTGTAGTTGAAACTTCTAAATAATGTGGCTGATTCTGTTCCGTTCAGTTGAAAATCAAAGACGATCGGTACCATCTTATCAAACGTATCAGATGGCATAAAGTGTTTTGTAAATGCCATCATCTGTGTAAGTGAACTTTTGAGGATTTCTTCATTAAACTGCAGAACTTTCCGCTTGGCATTTCAAGCTGGCTCCGTCAGTGGTCGTTTAACATCAAAATCTCCTGGGTACAGATTTATAGATCCCTCATAAATCGACGTCTTTTCTAATTATTACTCACACGGCCACCATGAGGTCTTCACTATGTGTCACAGACAGTATGTATATCCCTGCAGCTTCTGGTCCAAATTGAGCATTATGATCTAAAGCTGCTTCTCATCTGCGGATCAGCAGAGTGAACAGGTCTCCACAGACTCTGTTGTACCTGGCCCTCAGATTAAATTATCTTTGACGACCTCTCTCATGTGCCCTGACATTTCACTCCTGGCTCGTTCAACATATGGAGCCTCATTTTAATTGGAATGCACATGCTTTCCACATGGTGTCCCTATTGCCTCAGAATGAAAACTGCTCTGTTTTTTTTAGCCATATCATATTTCAGCACGAGTGGAAGCCTTTTAGGTTGCAATACAACAATGTGTTAATTTTTTTTTAAGCAGCAAGATTTTAAATGCAATTATTGTATTTTTTTTTTCTTTTGCATTGGTCTCTTTTCATGCACTATTTTCAAAAGGGACAGTCAGTTCAGCACTGCACTATGGAAAAGTCAGTATAGCAGTGTTCAAGAGCTACATAAAAATGATATCATACAATATATAAAGAACACATAACAGGTTCTAGCATACTGTATGAAAACTGATGTGAAAGCAGGTGGCTCTGTACCTGAGCTGCGAAAGTGTCACTCAGTGATAACCACTTTTTCACAATATTACATCTTCTCTGTGTTACTGCCTGTTGGTGCTTGTAATGCATCCTACATGTTTTATTGGAGCAAATTTTGCACCATTGCTATAGCTATAAACTAGGGATACTTTTTTTATTAAAGGTTCACATATGGATGCTCATAAGGTCAGAGGTCCAGAACAATGCCAGTTAAATGCACTTAAATAAAAGATAATACATTGTCCCTAATGTGACAAATGTTTTGCAGATTCAGCAGCCTGTAATAAAATTAATCTAAGAGTAGGCTTGTTCCATTTGGCGATTGGATTGGCTATCGATGATTGAAGGGATGATCAGTGATTGGTTTTTCATGTGTCAATATTAAGGCGATTTTAATTAACACACTATCAGATCTAAGATTCTAGAGATGAAAAGTCTCTAGAATCTGCACCCCACTGGAGTGTTTCCCATTCACTGATTTATTTGTGGCAACACCACACGCCTCAATGTCAACGCTGACCGCCACATATACTATTAAAGTAAAATTAGAATCCATTGTGGAGCTGCCCGCAGTGCATAGATTCGCTCAGCCCCTCCGCTTGCTCACTCCCTTTCTCTCACAAATGGAAACGGAGCCGTGTGTTTATATAAAAACTAAAGCATTCAAGTTAACTCTTAAGAATCCAGTCTATTTCTTAACACAACGCTGTCAGTGTTGGAGACCCACCTTCAAATACGTTATAAGCAAGCATGCAAGGAGCCTAGCTAATAAGTATAGCTATGTTAACGTTAGAATACAGCTGGGTTGTCCAGGTTAGCACGCTGTACATAGCTGCTGTTCAAAATCAATTGCACCCCCAACCCGTGCGCGGCACCAGATTTACACGGTAATTCTGTGGGAAACATTGCACTGTGCATTTATAGATGTTTCTGGTGGTTTCTCTTAAAGCTAATAAGCCTTTTTCTTCCTTGCTGGCATTTCACTGGCATGCTGCAACTTAACACTGCCCCCTGTCGATCAGATCGCCAATCGGTGATCTCAAGCAGCCATGATTAGACGAGAGAGAGAGAAGATCCCCCAACCCTATCTAACAGTACACAGACAG